GGGGGGCAACAGTTCTAGGCTTTACTATGTCGGGGCTTGTGACTCTCTTTGACACCGCCAGGTTAGTGAGAGCACTTCGCATGCTCCGGCACTTCAAGCTGATTTGGAGACTGGTTTATGGTATGTTGGCTGCCGGACAGACCATCATCTCGACAACAGCGCTGATCGCGATTTTCTTATTTATTTTCTCATGTGTTGCGGTGGAGCTCATCTCAAAAGACAGGAACCTGACGGAGCTGGAGCCGACCAGAGACATCGTGAGAGACTATTTCTCTGGCCTGAATAAGACATTCTTGACACTGATACAGTTTGTGACCCTAGATTCCATCGCAGAAGTCTACTATCCGCTCATCATGAACAAGCCTTGGCTCACTTTCTACTTCATGCCGCTCTTGATCTTCCTTTCAGCGGCGTAGTCAGATCCAAGCCTTTGGGGGCTTTTCGGGCCTATAGGGTTTAGGCTTAGGGTTCGGTAGCATTTTGAGGCTGGGGGGATCTAAGGTGGGCCTGATGAACCTGGTGACTGCTGCCTTGGTCGAAAATGCGATGGAAACGGCGGCTCACGAAGCGGAAGAAGAGCGTCAGAAGCTGAAGAAAAGGGTGCAGAGCGCCCCTTGGCAGTGTCAGCGATCATGTCGAAGCAAGACGAGGGTTCTCGAGTCTTTCCTGACCCAGGCACTGCCATCCCTGATCGAGATTTTTCATGAGCTGGACAAAGATCGGAGCGGCCTGCTGACACGCGAAGAGGTGGAGAACGTGCCGTTAAGCGTATTGCCTCCCCGGGTCTTGGACACGATCTATGCAGACAGCCTCTTGATGGCATGGACAATGCCGGGAGTCGGTGGAAGTGGAAGTATTGTCGCCCCCATGTGTAGCATTCATGCACCGATGCATGCATTCGCCGAGGCATGGCCGACATCTTTGATTACTTGGATGCCTCGTGGCGGCATAGCATAGAACGCTTTGCTCCACGGCTTACTCTTGGTCCATGGATCACTGGTTGCCAGGGGGCATAGTGCATCAAGGTTAAAGAAGCCCTGAGTCCCTTTTGACTCACTTGCTGCTTGGAGGTGGATGGCACGAAAGAACTCACGCAGATCGAATTCGTTGAGGGCTTGCTGAACCTGTGCCTGATGGATACACCCATCTCGACGCTCCAGTCCCTCAAACTCTTGCAGCTGATTCGTTCGGTCGTGGGCCAGGTGGAAACTGAGATGTCCACTCTCAGGCGAGAGATGCAAAAGCTGCGGACCTTCATGACCACGGTCAGCATGTGAAGCGTAGCGATCGTTACAAGAGAAGCCAGGTGCTAGCCGCTAGCCGTTTCACGGTGTAGGAAGTGTGCGCCGATCACCGCGCTCGTCTCAGAAAATGCAAGATGGAAGTGATAGGAGGGGAGTGCGTCAGTAGGTCTGGAGTCCAGAGTTTGCAAAGCACTCTTGTGCAGCAGCACCTGGGGTGGCTCGAGTGGACTGCGGGCCCGCATGGCAGATGCAAGGACCATGACCAAGTCCTCCAGAGCCTCGAGTTCAGGTGTTTGGAGATTGATAGTGAGTCAGAGAATGACAACTAGCGTTAGACTTGGCCGCCCCCACCAAGGACATGAAGCACATCATGCAAGGTTAGAGGAAAGGAAAGCCCCCTTTGCAAGTAATTTCAGCCAAGTCACAAGCTGACGCAGAGCCTGCAAGTCCGCCCGTAATGCTACCTGGCAATCTGCTGAGCAATGGTGCGAACAGCAATCTCTATGTTGCTGGTCTGCCTCCGAGTACCAGTGAAGATACACTGCGGCAGCTGTTCAATAATTTCGGTGATGCTCCTCGGCTTTACCTCCTGCTGATTAACTGCGGCACTTGCCGTTCCACGCCACAGCAAACGCACAGCCTCGCACATACGACACGAATAGACACCGAGCCACTGACATAGACACAGCCGGCCGAAGCTGCTGAGCAGTTCAGGCCAGCTGACAAAAGCCGAGGTAGCTTCGGTGCGAACTTTTTTTGGCAAGACGCCGCAAGCTCCAAGCTATGGCTTCGTGAAGTTTCGGTATGATGCCCAGGCTCGAAGAAGCAACAGAAGCAACAGGATGCGTTGGTTTTTGTTCAATTCTTTCTTTGGAGGCTCTAGCTGCCATCGCTGGCATGAATGGGCGCGACTTTAATGGGCACACGATGACCGTCCGCCTGGCGAACAATGACACCACGGGGCCATATCCTAGGCCCACCGACATTGGCGACAGAAGTTTGAGAGAAAGGGTCGGGGAGCAAAGGGTGTTTAAATCCGCCAGGAACGCTGCGCCGCCTGTTGCGCCCGTGGTCGGAGGAACGAACCTCTACGTGTCGGGCTTGCCCCCCGTGCCTAAGCTCATCAAATAAAGTTGCCACTTAAGTGGCTGTTGAAGCTCCTGGCAACTTAGGACATGGACGAAAATGGCATGAAGGACTTGTTTCGAAAATTCGGAAACGTCGTTTCTGTCAAGCTTGCCAGAGAGGCCTGGCAGGGGTTCATCGGCAATCGGTGCAAAATTGACACCCATGCAGTGCGGAACTGGTTTTCAGAGTGCAGAAATTGATTGGACTGCCAGGCACGAATATACAAGCAGTATGGCTTCGTACACTATACAAGTCCGGATGAAGCAGAAGCTGCTATAAACGCCATGAACAACAGAATCATCGCGGCTTCGATGCAATTGTGGATGTGAAGTGCCGTGCCCCTGTGAGCATTCGAAGAAAGCAGTCTTTAGGATCGGGATTATCAACTGACGGTTAAGTATGCGAACAGCTCCGAGCGGGCCTGGCAGATGAGAGTTGCTCGGCAGAAAGACCCCATGACTATGTGGCCCATGTTCTTACTCGTCGTAGGCTTGTGCAGAAAGTCACTCCCATTTTCCTCATCTTCAGCCCACTCAGGAGCAGGCAGCAACGCAGGCAGCAATGGCAAACAATCCAGCAGCAGCCGTGGTCGCTGTGGCTCAAGCCCTGGCAGCTGCAGCGGCTGCAGCAGCGCCCGCGGCCTCACCTGGTGTGGCAGCAGGCGCCACCAGTGGCCACAGTATATCAGCAGCTCACTCAAAAGGATGCTGCTGCTGGGGAGTTTCTGCAGGCGAGGAGGACCGCTCGCGGCCTGGCTTCACACTGCACGTCACCGGGCTTCCACAAGGCCCTGGGCCCAGTCGAACAGCTTGAAGTTCCCCTATCGCTGCCTTAGCTGGCGCAGGCACCTCCAAAGAGCAGTTGGAAAGCTTCTTTGCCGCCTTCGGTCAGGCGCGAGAGGAAGAGCAGAGCGAGAGAGAAAGGCCATGAAAGGCGTGTAAAAAGCGAGGGCGAGCTGCTGTTTTCAACAGGTCACTGCCAAGGTGTTGGACGATGGCATGGCTAGCGGTAAAGCTGTCGCCGCTGGCCTTGTTCATTCTGCGAAGCTGCAAGCAGGCTTTCCGCTAACAGCAGACGCTTCATGGAGTGTGCTGAGGCTCTCTTGCGACTCATGTCGCGAGACGAGGCAGATCGATTGGTCATGGAATACAACGGGAAGGTCTTGCCAGGCCCATCGCATCGCTCCCGCAGCACTCCATCCTTCTCTTCTGCACAGAAAGGTATGGTGTCAACAAAACTCTCTCTTTCAGTCCGTCTCTCTCTCCGTGAGGCCTGGAGGCTCCCTTGTCCGTGCGCCTCGCCAGCCCGGAAACGCCACCGGGGCCCCAAGCCGCTGCGGCTGTGCGGGGCCCCGCCCCTGGCCCGGCCGGCTCCGAGCGCTACGAGCCCTACCCGGGCAAGGCCCCGAAGAGGGCCCTGTGCCTTTTTGTTAAGGGTTCATCTCTCTCTCTCTCTCTCTGTGTCTGGCTCGCTCAGCAGGGCTCTCCGGAAGCTGCGAGCCAAGCCGGCTCGGCGTCGGCACCTCCGCGCGAGATGCGCTACCCGAGCCCAGCGAGCAACCTGGCGAGAGACACGGCGATTCCGTGCCGTTGCAGCGCGGGAAAGAATCGCTGCAACGGCTGTGCTGGAAGACCCAAGGCTCTGAGTTTATGGTGGCCGTGAGCGAGACCGCTCCCCTGGCTGCAAGGAGAGAACTCTGGAGATTCTCCTGTAAGATCCGAGACTGATTCAGTGAAATTCAGTCAGATTGTGACCAAAATAGAGCTGCTACTGCCGGGGGGGCGGGGACGTTTTTCGAGAGCAAGAAGCAGGGACCCTCGATGCGCTCCCCAATGCTTTTTACGTTAAACGGCCGCCACGATCCACAGCCCGCCTAGCACTCAGCAGCTCCTAAAAACCGACTCTTCTGCTCCCCATAGGTTAAAAGTAGAAAGCCATGCAGGCCTGATTGCCTTGGCTGGGGCATTGCGAGATGTCTAGAGAGAGAGACCGTGGGAGATATATCCGAAGGTCCGAAGGAAGCTTCACACATGTTTGCGGAGACCATGGTTTAGATTCTGCGCCTTTCTCTTTCGAAAGAGAGACTGCTTCACCGGCCTGAGGTGTCTCGCGTCAAGGGTTTCAGGCCAGTCCTGGCCCACACTATGGATCCAACGAACCTCTACATCAAGGGGTTGCCGAACAATGCCGATGAGCTTCTTGGCAAGGGGCCAAAGGGGATGCGAGCGGTACAGGAGCAGGAGATAGAGCGCTTTGTTCATTGTGTAAGCAATTGGTTTTTGTGCATTTGTTTGGCGCCTCTCTGTCCGTTCTTCGCCCTTCCCCCCCCCCCCCCANNACAAAAAAAAAAAAAAAAATCCCCCTCGCCCTGCCCTGGAAAATTGAGGCTGTACCTCTACTCCATCTTCTCGCCCTTTGGAGCCATCCAGAGTGTTCGGCTCCTGAGAGATGGAGCGGGGGCATGCACCGGTGCTGCACTCCTCAAGTTCGGCATCACAGAAGACGCAGAGCTGGCCATCCGAACCATCTCTGGCAACAAGTTGCCCGATGGTGTGGTCCTGGATGTGACCGTCAAGACGGTGCGATCCTAGGTTTCCCGACAGGTCCGCCAAACGCTGCCCAAAAAAAGCCCGACACAAAAACTTGGCGCCGACGTGGGAAAACAAAGATTGACTGACCTGCCCGCACATGCCTCGATGGACGAAGGAGCCAGTCTTTGATCCGAGGTCTGCGTGCTGCAAAACTCAAGCTTTAGAGCTCAGTAGAAGGGGTTCTTGATGCGGTAGCCGTTTCCAACGAAGCTGTGGGTGTCGCCGCCTAAGTGAGAGGGTGCTGTGGCTGTATTACGTCGAGTTTACGTTGTTCTTGAGGCTGGCCTCTGGCTTCGCCCCTAGGGGCCGGCACCTATGAAGGCCGGCACCTGATGCAGCGCGGGCGCTGTAGCGGATGTGCCGCGTAGACTGGGCTAACAGCTAACACTGTAAGGTCAAGCTTGAGCTTGCTTGGCATTGCTTCCTCTTGGTATGCACGCGGCTGTTGTAGACTGGGCTCACGGGCTGCAAGTGCAGCAGCGCTGCTGATTGCATCATGTTACATGTTCAAGATGAAGCTCACTTTGCAAGAGGATGCGCGCAGTCTTGTACCGGAGCCCTGAAGGCCATTTGGTTGGCGCTTTGCCTGCCAAGCGTCTTCGTGAAGTCCGCCAAGCTGTCGAGGTGCGGCCTGTGCTTTTTTAGGCCCTGGACTCTGGCCTGTGCTTCGCCGCGTGAGGAGCGCCAGCCCGCGGCTCCAGCACGACTCGAGCCAGGCTCAACACCTCTCCTTGCGAAGCCTGCAGAAACCCCCTGATTGTCGAGTCAAGCGGGGGGGGGGTCGGGTCGGTTCCGAGGCCACGGCCTTTGCGCGGCTTTCCTCCAAGAACGCCGTGGCGCAGAAGCTCCGCAAGTCGCAGCTGGTTTCGGGAAGAGACGTTTTAATAGCCTCCAGGAGAAGAAACCCTCTCCTCCCCGCAGCGGGCAAAAAACTCGCAGAAAGTCGCAGTATAGAGCTTTAGAAGGTCCGGAGGCGCCCTGAGAGCCCAAGACGTGTCGCGTTTCTGGGGCCATTTTTTGTCCGTTGGAGCCCGCGGAAGAAGGGCCTTTGGATCCCCTTTTGGCGTTGTACGCGCTGCCTCGAAACGCCCTGCAAGGTGGTATATGGGTCTCGAAAACATGTTGCAGCCGAGGCACAAAGATGCAAACGCTTGCCCAGACAACCAGTTTCCGCCTGTGAATGTTACTGTTCAGGGAGTTGCGCCACGGTTGCATTGAGTACTCACGTTGGCAGAGACCACCCACTTGAGCTGCCAAGCAAGGGTTATCTGGACGATATCCTCTCGGGGGACATTCTGGGCCAGTTGCAGACCAATCTGGCTGGCCATCCTGAGCTTTGGTGCAAACTTGAGTTCTTTGTGGCTTGAGTGCTCAGTTTTGAGAAGTTGGGGGCCAGTGTTAGACGAGAAGCGGCACTGCGGGACCACTTCCACAGCTTGCTGAGCACTTCACTCTGCCTTACCCAGACCCAGTAGCAGTTCCAATGTCCTCCTGTGGGCCATGCATGCCGTGGGATTAGAGATTGCAATGTTGCAGGGTAGTGGCTTTCATTTCGCTGTAGTGTAGGGCCCCAGAAAAGTGCAAGCTTGCAAGGACTGGGAGATAGGCAAACCCTGGACATTGAGCATGGTGGCCGACTCTGTCGAGAGAGAGATGGACCGCAAGTTCGGCTTCGCAGGTGGAGAAGGCTTCAATGCCCCTGGGCTTGCAAGCAGCCAGTTTCCGAACAACAACCCCAAGCAACCTTGGAGAAGTCAAGGTTTTCATGGTGAAGAAGGCGAGAGTCGGCCAGAAGATCAGAGTGACAGACAAGGTGAAGACTTTGGCCATCAGCACGCGTTTAGAGTATCGTGGGCAAGACCCCATTACCCTCGAGGGTGCCATCCATTTGACAGACATTTGCCTACGCAGCTCGGCTCCCGAAAATTTTGTGCGTCGGACGTAAGGCCAAGGTGCAGCGAGCGCAGTGAGCGAGTCAAGAACTCAGGGCCCATGACTTGCGACGCCTTCTTTCAGCAGCACAAGAAAGAGTGCCTGGATGACGACCTATGGAAGCGGAAGTTGAATCCCGAGCAGGTCACCGGTCACACCAGGCCTCCAACGACTCAAAAGCAGTGACGACTCCCCAATGATCCCATTTCTCTCAGCTCCCAGGAGCATGTGCTGCGAGCAGATGAAGTGCGCAGAGGAGGCGCCCTGCGCGCCGGCGACGATGTACAACAAGAGGTGTGCTCACTTGTATCGTTGGTGGGCAGTTATGCTGCATGCTGTTGTGAGTGACAAGTAAGGCCGGACTACGACACCGCCTTCGGAAGCAAGCCGCTGGGACGTGAGAGAGTGAGTGAGTGTGAGAGGGAGAGAGAGAGAGAGAGGGA